GGTACAGTGGCAGCTTACAGACATAGACATTCATCACTCTTCCGTGCTTTCCGTTCACATTTATCTACCTCCAAGTCTACACCAGAGATTGGGCATCTGACTTCAGCTTGGCTTCTAGTAAGTCAGTGGTGCTCACCCGTACGATTTCGAGTTTTACGGAGGGTGCTGTTACAACATACAGCATACAAACAGCAGTGTTAATTAGATTGCTCCCGTAACCACATGCCTTCTCATTGTGGTTTATTCTCACATAGTGAGGGCGAAAAGAAAAATATCCGAAGCAAGTAATCTATCCACGGACTCTCGTTAACCGCCGAAATGTTGTAGTGAACTATGCTAGCGTTGAATCTGACGTTTCGTACACCACAATTCTGTCCGCTTAATGGATAATGGAGGCATTAGAGTGCCCCTTGTGTGATTTTGTTCACTGTGGTTGGGTCATTAAGTTTGAGTCCCAGCTTGAAGCACTTTGGTGTACAACAAAAATCCGATTGGCTGTCATCCACTAACTAAATTGATGTTTTAAGTTTACAATAAGTTTGTTTGTGAATGAATACTCAATCCCTCACCAGTTAAGAACGAACAACATTGCTGAAAATTCACGTAGTCTACCTACTTGAAGTGCCCCACATAGGGCAAAACTGGAAGTGGCTGTCAGCAGGAGTTCACTATCTTTACAAAAAGTATACTTTGTCAACGTTTACCTTTAATATTTCCTGCATCATTTTGAGTCCTATGAAGCCCAAGGGGTGGGCAACATGAAACTATAAAGCCGAAAACCATTCCGATAAAAATGAATTATAGACGTAGTGCACTGTTCATAAGGTTTCTGAAAATTCTTCAAAAGTCCACGACCAGTTTCACCCTTCTCGGGACTTATCATATAGACGCAATCCCTGGGCTTACTTCGATCTCATGTCTACTTGAACCAAAATTGCACGAAATTAGCGAAAGCAAATTTAGTTTTGTGAGAGACTCACAAGGAACCCAGTTGGATCTCTCGTTTATGATGTCTCTAAGCACCCGGACGGGTTCCAGGTATGTCTCTCGCAAAACCCAGTTTGTTTGTGAATGAGTGTATTTCGCTGACTCTTGATTGTATTCGGTAGACCACCTGGAGAGAGGCCATCCTGGGTCAAATGCTTTCTGGCCTGTTCTGGGGAACTACCTGTTCTCGGTTGCATTGCACAACCGACAATTTTGGTATCAAGTGGTCATGTTTGGTGGTAGAGTCTTACAAATGGATTTTTGTAACCAATACACTGATGAACCCTAGATGAGTGTCTTCAGATGTAAGCGTGATGAAAACGCACAAGCCATATCTCACCCTGGTAGTGAGTCTTGGGTCTTAGATTAAAATGTATAGGCTATCTGGTGAGCTGGAGGGTGCTGGTCAATATACTAAAAATGGTCAACCAAATTTCTGCTTGTGCCTCAGGTTTCGGTATTCAAAAACTCCAAACTACGATATCACATTTTGCGACAAAATTCTACTCACTTCTCAAATGAGAATATCCTAAGCTGAGTTTAGCCATTGATTGACAAAATATGTGCAAATGAAGTCCATCCTGACTTGAAATACTACTTACATGTATCCTCACAACACCAGAAACTTTGACACCATTCAGTAAGCAGACAGTTCGTTCATATTCATGCGTTGACTAGTAATTGTGCTGGGGGGCCAAAGTGGTGGTAACACCTTGAATCGTGTTTACTGTTGCCCAATCCAAGGTGATCTATTGTTCCACTCTCCGTGTAACAGCAGCCTTAGATTTCTGGCTCTGATTAGGATAATAATTTTTTATTACCCAAGCCAGCTTGGTGACCATTAAAAAATCTCTGGTCTTTTCCGCAATACTCATTTCGTTCGGAAAGGTCATATGGCTACCAAGTTACAAGCACAAAGCAGGAGCTCCTAAACGCAAGTTGGTCAGTATGCACTGAAGATCAAGGGAACCCTAAAAATATGCGCTTCAGAGACTTCACGTAAATGAAACAAGATGTATGTACTAACTACGCTGTCAAGCAACTCATCTTTTCTGAACGCAACCCCGTGGAGCGACCTCTGTTACCCCTGTTTTCCACCATACTTTTACCTTCTTGTCATTCAGCTATTTTCGGCGTAAGGATTGCCTTGACAAGAGCGTTTACTACGTCATAACACAGGTCAGAAACTCAGCGTCCAAAAGCCTCTGCTATCAAAGTAAACTAGTTCCCCTGACATGAGCATAGAAACCCATGTTACCAATGCAATTTCACGCGCTGCGTTGTGAGAAATCCTCAAATCTGGATTGGTGACAGCCTTTTGTTTAAAGGAACCTCATACTTGCTTACGTCAACCACGAACCGCACTGACAAATCGTTCTGTCCCTTTTGTCTTGCGAGCCTCCTTACTGACAAATCGTTCTGTCCCTTTTGTCTTACCTGCAAGCCTCCTTCAGACGCACTGGCAGATAGGTATCATTTGTTCGTTGATTAGTCTCTCATTAAAGGCATCTAACTGTGCGGATTGCGTGTTGTTTCGCACTTGCATCTAACTGGTTGCTCATACACAAAATCAGACTAATGAAAATAGGGATACTGGACTCACTTGATGCGTCCTAAAATAGTCGAAACCGTTGATGAGCTGTCCAAGAGTCTGAAAAACCTTACAGGCGTACAAGGTCCGTGAAGATGAATTTTTCATGAACAACGGGATTAAAATTTTCCGAAAGCATACTGACTGCTGTCTGACATTAACGGCCACCATTTTTTGAGCATTTGTTTGGCTAAATGTCGGTCAGGATACGAAAAGGTCACCAAAACATCCAGATGTTTACAGCTAAGAGAATCTTGTCCATACATGTTAGCCAAATTCCCACGTGTCCTAGGAGTTATTGGGCTTCATGCGACTATGAAAGCCAGTATGACGAAGTTAACTGTTAACTGTAGCCTGCGTCAACAGTAATGCAACATGCCTCGCAACGCCGAAAAAGTTGCAAAAGTCAGTGTTTTTAGCATGTTCTAACCGCGTCCTACCAGTTGTGGCTGAGCCGATAAAGTTCACTACTGCGACCCAAATATCTTTGTCTTTGTCCTTGTTTAGACATCACAAATAAGACTCTCCAACACTGTAGCGTTGACAAGCAATTGAAATTAAGCTATGCACTTCCCTTCCTCTTGAATTCCGAAACCTACCGAACATTGGCAGCGTGTTCTTGAGACCAGATTTTATAAAGCTCACGGACCGACTCTAATATCGAAGGACATTTCAAAAATAGTTTACAACGGCGATTTCTTCTATCACTTTCCCTGATTTTACTGGTTTCAATTTTCTAAATCACTGGGTTTGTTACGCAGAGCTTAGCCGTGTAGTACAGTACTAGGAACCCTTCGGTCTGGAACTCTGGGATAGCTGATAATCAAATACAAAGAAACGGATATCAGCGGTCTGAGACACATACTGTTCACATTGTAACACGGCTTCTAAAATCGACAGATTGGTGAGCAAACGGTAATTTTATCAATCACCCTGATAAATGCGCATTGGTTGTCGATTATCCTTTCAAATTGGACTTCGAACTGGATCAGTGAAATCGTAACACTCCTTAAGAAAGCGGGACTGCCCTAAAAATTAGACCAGAGAGGTATTTCTAGAAAAGAAATCCTCAGCAGTACATGGCCGTCACCTACTTGCTCTTAACCCTACATTTTGCCATACTCACCTAGGCCAGATGAACTTGTCGGTATCTCGGTCCTAATGACTCCTTCGGATCGCATGGCTGGTACATACCTAAGACGCGCCATTATTGAACGTCTTGACCATTTACAATGTTGTCTACCCGAAGACTCTGTTGACCTAATGATTACGTAAGTGAACCACACGATTTCAGTGTTTCAATCGTGAAACAACTGTGAGATGATCAACTGTAACAACGACAAAAATGACAGTAACCAGCAGTCCAAATCGTTGTTTTTCTTTCAGTAAGAAATGCGCAAGATCATATGTAGAAAAGCTAGTGCCTATTGAAAGCTGTTTTTAACTTAGACACAGTAGCACGCTGTTCATACTCAGAAACCACAGTCTTGTTGCTCCTTGGCCCACCAAGTTAACTACGAGGGGTTCTCCTGTGGACATGTTTCGACAACCGCATTGTTTTTCGAATGTGTGCTGGCTGTTTCTGTGGTAGGTGAATCTAACAGAGAATCTGTTCCCGCCAAATCACTGGTATCACTTGTTATAAGCTGAGAGTGAGCAGTGTTCAGCGAGTACTCATCTGTGTGTTGCTCCACTGTTTCCGGTTTATCTTCACAGGCTTCTGAAGCTGTTTCTTCTCCTATCACTATATCCTCCTCCACCTCCCGGTCGCTGATTTCCACGTCTTTTGACCAGTTTACGGAAGAAGTGGAGTGCTGTCTGTCATGCTGTTCCGGTGCAGGAAGTCTTGGAGATGGTGGTTCAGGCTCCAAAGCACAAAAGAGGTTGGGGCTCGCCTGAATGAGGCATTCGGAATCCATGTCCCGTTTCTTTGTGTGAATCTTTACACGCTTATTTTCTCCATACCCGGGCCGCTTTTGGCGAGCGTCCACCGAAGCTACGACTAGGGGATGTCTGGTAGCCAAAACGAACGGTCCGGATCCCGATGTAGTCTTACTGTTGTCTTGTTGATGTGTCAGTAGCGCTTCAGAAGAAGATTTGTCTCCCCAATTTTGCGAGTGGACAGCACTCCTCCGCTTCAGTTCTTTCACACTTTTACGCCGGAAGAAACCACAGGCATAGAAACATATACCTAACACGGTAAGAACGAATATGCCAGCAACTATGGCAACAATGAAGGGCCAGAGAGGTATGCGGTGTGTTATTTTTGGTTTTACCCCACGAAGTATGATCGACTGTTTCAATTCAAAAAAGGGTGGTGGGGTGGGATATTCGAATTTGAGAATGCGTACGGCTTCTGATACATTGTTTTCAAGTGCTTTGTAGACGACCAAACTTGATGGCACTTCACCCCAGTGTTCAACGCGCAGGCGGCTTACAAAGCTGACGTCAGGAGTCTGCAGGTTGAAATAGGTTTCAGCCCAAAGCCATCCTGTCCAACGCAGGCGTACCGCATCTCGTTTCCCAAGATGTGTCAGTGTGCATTTGATCGACACACATCGTGTCGGAATATTCGTCGTGCGCGGGTCACAGCTGAACTGAAAACGGAATTTTTCACTCCGTCGGATTTTGATTCCAAGACCGTCAGCCTCGTTGGCTGGATCGACCTGCTCCAATTTTGAGTCGCCAAAATCTTCCGTCCTGGTAATGATATAACCTACGTTCCGGCTCCCACGTTTGGCACGCAGTAATTGTGACCCGGCAGAAAAGGGAGGTTCTGCTGGTTCTCGGTGACCTTTAATAAACCAGGAGCGGACAGCGAGCTAACAGAACGTTACAGGCTTGAGATCAATGACAATCAAAAGTATGAACATTATTTCAACTGGATAGTTATCGATTCGGTAAGTGTGGTCACTTGAATATCAAACATGACGTCTAACCTACACCCGAATGTTAATGTAATGTTAGTGCAATAATGTTGAATACTGGGATATGATGTGCATCGACTACCTAGAGGCTGTAAGAAGGAAAGAGTTAATGGCCTGATTAGAATTCGCAGCTAAGATAAATCACTTGGTAGAAGAAAACTGATAACCGGTATGTCTGTGCAAAGCTTCAAGCAGAATGATTGTTTTGGTAAGTACTCTCACCATTCAGATCACCTCAAGTGTAGGGTGAATCTGGAGTTTCATTTGGTTATCGCTCTGCCTCTATCAGGCAAAGGAGCACTGCTTTTAAGACAATATGTATCGGAAGCTAATACTTTCCATTCTGAAAATATTTGTCAATTTATCATTGTCGCCTGATTAACTGAACAATAAACATGCTGAACAATGCGCCTCCACGTCCTTTTGAGCTCATTTTGAATCTGTCACTTTCATTTGCTGGTTCTTTGGGCACAGCCCACTTATCGATCGACTGGTTGTTACAGTGTCCGCGATTCTGTTCTGTATAGACTATAGCTGGATATGGCTCAGTGGCTAAGTCGAGAACCTGCCGACCGGAACGTTGATAGTTCGAACCCTACCTCTGCATCTCGACTGCCTCCGTTTAGGTTTAGGAAATATCTCGACCCTCGTGCTTCCTTCGGGGGCATAACAACTAGGTACCGAAAGGGTACTTCAGCTGAACGATAGATTACATACCAAAATCGAGATGGAACTATCACCACCTTGAACTGTTCAAGATGTGTTCAAGCCTGATGCACATACGTGTGCAAACTGGAACAAGCTTAGGCGGAACACAAGGAGACAGTTATTATTTAACCTTGTGAGCCTTCTCTCAAATGGAATGAAACACATCTCCGACGCTTACTTCCACCTTCTGGCCACAATATAGAAGACTAGCTAATTCGAGAACAAACAGGTGTTAAATGATTCCAAGTCAAGCCAACTGACTATTAGCACTTCAACAGTAAGTCTCTTCATAATCCGGGGTCATTTCCCACGCATAAACCTTTGGAATCGCCTTCACCTGGGAGAGAATCTCCGTCTACTTGTGAATCACTGATGTGGATAGGAGTCAAGTCAATAAGTATAGTGGTATCTACAAGAACCTGGGTTCCAGGGAAAACTAATCGTCCACTATTCCTGTCATGGCAGAATACACATAGCGAACTGTTTCCCAACTATCACCCTAACATTGGAAGAAAATCAAGGTAGTCTTAGTGAATGGACTGATAACTGCCATCAAATTTGAGAGGTTTTGGAGATTGTAGTGAAGACAATCCCAAATCACTCGTGGTGAGTAAATTAAAACAAATGTTCACAGAAAACTTGCATTGAAAAGCGCGCAGTGCTTCAGACACAATGATCAAATCCCAATGAGCGCACCCGAGCTACAGGTATTTCGACATTGATAATCAATGCACCCTTACAGAAGTGCTGACTTGAAGGACATCTACTGTGTTTACGTCCAGTTGGCTGACGCTGGGACAAAAAGTACAGCCGAATGCGACTGGCTTTTCCAAGGTCGTACTGGAAGTGTCCGCGTTCTACGGAAAGACGAATGCCCTAGTGCATGCTAGTGCCATGTGCCCTCGCGCGGTCGTGTCAAATGGACTTGTTTCAAGGAAGACAGGGAAACACCAGAGACCGGCTTTTAGTCTAGCTCGTGTCGGCTCATTTTTCTGTGTGGCCGAGTGGAATTTATGGGTTCGGCAAACGTACCAGACTTACTTTGCGGCTGTATTGACTGCTTACAATGCACTTTTGTTCAAAAGGTTTATCCTGAAAGACTTTGACCTCCATATTTTTACTAGAGTGTTAAACAGCAATGAAATTCCTGTTCCTCTTTGAGCGATCAAGCTGTTACCCGCCCTCAAGATGCGGAAGAATTCGGGACCAGTCTGTTCCTGAGGGCACAACTACAATCGTAGCTGAACAAGAAAGCACAATAATAATGTTCCCTCGGTTTGTGACGTAAATTTCGCAAGTCTCGTTGCTGAAAATGTTGAAGTTATCAACAACCGAAAATTAGACTGAATGTCTAAAATGAAGCAGTTGGGTGATCCACTGTTCGTAAAGATGGCTAAGTCCCCGCATCTACGCTGCTGTTTCCCAAACAAATTGCAGACGGGATTAAGTTCAAACGACGCGAATTACTGCTACGTGAGAATTACGCCAACCTACCAAGAAAGTCTCATTCGTAACTCCTGAGTCGGGTTGATATGCGCCTAGTGTTGTCAAACAGCTACGGAAATTTACATACTTTTCATACTTTTATACTTTCGCTTATTTCCCCGAAACGTAGTTAACGTGATATTCACAATGCCATAACCGACGGACGTCAATGATGGGGCTACCGTTGGACACAAGCATGTTTAATTTGAGTAGGTGCCGTCCAGAACCTCAGCGAATCTCATTATGCCGTACACAACAAATACTCAGCATCTTTTTAGCAGTGAGTGAAACGCAAGGGGAACTGTTGTTTCACTTACTTGAACCATCGAAGTCCAATACAGTCAAGCCCAATGGATTCAGGTAATCCGTTGGCACAACACATTGTCCCACAGATTGGCCGTCAGCCGAGAAAATTTGTGGAAGCAGGTTTTCCCACTCTGAACAAGAAACAAAGTGCTGGTTAACACGCATAAAACAATAGTAGAGGGCATAATAGTACGATTTTACCATTTTACAGAAAATGGAAAGGACTTTCACACCACGAGACAACAGTACGACGGAAATGCCCTGGGCCATTGACCCGCATCTAGTGGTTGATTGTCACGGTAAATGGTTGAACTCACACCAGCAGACCTTATTGATGGAAATACGTTTGGCTTGTGCGATAATTTATTCTAGGACGTGAAGAAGGCATTTCTGGCTGAAATACGTCACAGATGCAATGCGGATTAGAGGTCAACGCATGGGATGAAGCAACGTACGCAATACATACCTATCGCGTTCATCGTAATTCCCAATGCCACACAAAGATATATTTTCACTTTAGCCATTGATTTGGATATTGGTAGCGTGGGTCGGTTAATTGGCTTTTAATCTGGTGGTAACTGATCTGTTAATTGGGCTTGATTACTTGCTTCGTCACCATCAGTCTGCGCGCCTGAACACCATATTTACCGTGTGACTCACGTTCGCGTTCCATTAGATGGCAAAAATGACCTGAATGTGTAGCTACCCTTTCGCCACACACGTGGCTGTACAGGTCACCGACACTCGCTAGATCACGAGATCTGTCTTTTTTCTTACACTCACAAATCACGCCACAGAATTGTGACTGACTTGACTACACAGCTCACAGTCAAGCCCTCGATCCCAAGACTCGCTTTATTTTCCTACACGTACAAATCACGATACACAAAAGTGACTCATCTGACATCGACTGTCCACCGTCCGATGAGGTAGCAACAAGTCATGTGCTGACACCCACACACACGCAAAAGTTCTTACATATAGGATAACAGCACAGCAACACAACACAACTCAACAGCTTCGCACGTCGCCCAGCTCGGAGCAGAGCCGCTCAGGTCCTTACGGCGCTTCACTCACGGATATCCAGGACTACGTGTGGCTGTTACAGCAGCGAAGAAGACACGAAACCTGCATCCGGACTTACAACAGGATTTATCAAACTGTACCTGCAAAACGATAAGTCCCTTGTTTGCATATATACCTGTTGTAATAATTTTATTCAACAAGCAAACATTGTTAGTGCTCTCCGTTTTCTCGTTCATACAACTGGTTTTCGGGTTCTAGTAGAGCATTAACAAATGACAGGATCCGCCAATCAGTGTAGCAGAACTTAGAGCGATTCAGTTGCGGATATGAAGAAGAATTCAATAACCGGAGTCTCTGCTTGACACAAAGCGAATGATTCTGCCGCGTACTTGGAAAAAGACCTCTATGCAAACGGTCAATCATATTGGTCTTATTACTCACCCCTCCCACTGGGAAACACCCCGTCCAACTGATGTTTTGGGATCCTATAAGTGTTTTTTCAATGAAAAACAATACTGAAGAATTTGTCAGAAATATGGCCAACATTCGTGCACTTTCTGATGCTTTTGAAAAGGGTTTAAAAGGCGGGCTATGTTAGTAACAGGCCTCATCGAGTATAAATGCTTTCAGTTTTTACCTGAGTTTACACACACTTGTTACGAAAGGCTAGTGCTTTAGATAATTTTTCCACAAGCACATGAACGAGAACTTCGTACTACATCCCGAATCTATTAATCCTCGGGTGCAACCCAATGAGTCAGCTGGCGATCAGTCACTACTCTGTTTTTTCCCCATCAGTAGTATCTCAGTGTCTCTAAAACACCAAAGTCGGCAACGTCCAACCGAACAATTGGGAATTAGATCACAGTGATTCAGCCCGCTGTTTTACCATTTTAGACCAGAGTGAAAAAGAACTTTAAATGACCTCTTGGCATATAGTTAGATAAGTGATCTGTCCGTTTAGATGACGTGAGTTCAAAGTCTGTTATAGTTCAGAAGTCTGTTTGTTGTCTTGGGTTTGACAAAAACACAAGCCATCAGTTGCATATGCAGAATGCTCTACAGCAACTCTCTACCTTTCGCAACTATTCTGGACCACTGATGCCCACGTGATTAGCATGCAACTCAGTGTTGCCCCACATGGAGCTACCCATGTAATGGTGATGCTACTGACGGGGAGGCACGTGAGTAGTATGCGCTGTTCGTAGAATTTCGCTTTGCGTCTATTGAAAAAAAGGAGCTCTGTTGCGGAATTCGTAGAGCCACTTTGTAACATTTGTTTGGATTTGACCGACGAATGAGTGGAGTCAACGAATCTCCAGGAAAGTTCAAGAAGACTCGTTCGGGAGAAGATCGGTGCCCAGTTTTTGTAACTAAGATGCTGATTAGAGTTTTGCTTCCCTGTTCAATGGTCTGTAACCGGTCAGCTGGCATTTGCGAATAAAGAACTCGACAGCGAGTCCTTTCCTGCTTCAAAGCTTCTCTCTCAAACAGAGGCTGCCAAAAGGCAACGAATCGGTTGTGTCTACTAATGGGGTACTTATTAGCACACTTACCGGAATATGCGCTACCCTTCTGGGAGAGTTTCCTGACTTCAGGAACCAGATATACAAGGGGTTTTCGGTCCACCGTTGAAAAAGGCAAGTCTAACATCAGGCTCAAATTCGCAAGGTCTGTAGTCCCAGGATTTTCAATCACAAAAGTATGTTCCAACTTCGGACCAATATCCTCGGAGAATACCTTACGCGGACCATATGCTTTTTTTTAAAAAAAGAAAACAGACAGGAAGGTGAAAGAATTAAGCCTAAACGATCATTACCAAGTAGAACTTGGAAAAAGCTTATTTTGAATAGGTAGAATGCACTACTCATAGGTTTGTTGAAACTATTCGCGGCAGCCTACGCCCGGTTTTGCCCTCCTTGGGGCTCATCATAAACGAGAGATTCCGCTGGGTTTCAGGCGAGTCTGCCGTCAAAACCAAATTTAAATGTAAATGAATAGTTTGTTCAAAATAGTACTGGAAGCAAAGTGTCAGTAAAATTCCTGCATTCAACCGTGGTAATGCGAACAGAATAGTGTGTTGATGATGACGATGGTAAAGATGTTGATAAAAGGTGTTGGATACTCGACCGTCAAGGGTTATAAAATATCTAATAATAATCATGTTTTGGTGGACTATTCCCGAACCAGTACACACAGTAAGGTATGTCTAAAGGATAGGTATGAAACAGTGTCCGAATGTGGTGAACTGCGAGCAGTCTTCTCCATTCATACACGATCCTAATGAAATCCGATTCCAAATATTACCGTACCTTTCGACAATCGTTCCCGTGATGTCCTTCAAGATAGTACGGATCTGAATACTGAACAAATGTATGTCCATATCTCTCGTAAGAACTTCTGGAAGCCCAAAAGTTCTCAACAATGAACGATTTGAACGATTGTCTATCAGTTCCCATCAAGGAAATTAACTTGCTTTTCAAAGACCTGTTTCTCATGGGGATAGTAGTCATTTCGTTAACCTTGTTCACACTACTTTCAGGTTACTTCGAGTGATTATTTAGGAAAATATCGCGGGTACAATGGAGAACTCACCACCAGCAAAGACTGTCGGTTCTTTTCTGTGATCGATTAAGGAAGCTGGCTGTAATCCAAGACCGATCAAAACTCGTGGCTTGTAGACGATTTGGTAATTAACCGAGATTCTGTTGTTACTTAGGTCTGGATCATCTGTTTCCGAGAACACACGCATCTGTATACCTGGGTAGACGAGCTGACCACCTTCTTGGAGTTTGTTGACCAACTCTTGCGTTGATATAGTTCCCGTACCAAGATGAGCAAAAAATATCCCCACATCAATCCAGATTGGCTCGTTTGGATGCAGTGAACGTCTCCGTCTGGAGGTAATCAAAACGGCATCTTTGGCCTCAGATACATGAGTCATCCATCCTGCCATTGCTGGTCGAGCAGACAGTGTTGCATCCACTCCGGCTTGAGTTATATTTACTTCTGTCAACTGGAGTTCGACTCCTGCGGGCGGACTGGATGATAGTTTCCCAAATGTTTGAATTTGGATCCGAACTCCAGTGGCTTTCGTTGGTCCCATATTTTCCAGCTGCAAACGCAGGACTGTCCGGCGTTTGCTGAAGTCGATTTGTACTGTACGTGGAGCAGAACTAAAATGAACCAATGTGTCATCAATATGGCTCAAGCGCAAATCAGAGCTGCAGCCTGACGGTGACCCAGGACACACAGGTGCATTGAGGACAAGGTTTGCTTGACACTCTGACCAGTCGACCAAGGGTTGTTCGGCCTTATTACATAGCTTCTCTTCGGAGCGATAAGAAGCGCATTCTTCCGTACGCACAAACGATCGATAGGCTATGCGAAGTGGGACGATGTTCAAATCGATTGACTGTGCTTCATAGCGCGCCCGAAGGCGTGCTAAAATCTGCATCTGCCCTTGTCTAATTCGGACGGGCTTTGGCTCACCAACTACTTCGAAACGTGGTTTATCCGGATCCAAACTGTAGGGAAACTCTGACTGGAAAAAGTCTTCGAGTCGATCTCTCTTATATGAAACATTGTTCGCGTTTTCCGTATACCTTTCATTCCAAAGCACATCTGGATTGATTTGGTGCACACGAATATTTGGGCTTGTTAGACCGTCCGGAATAGGAAGCAGCTCATTTGAGTACATATCATTGAGCGACACAAGTATCTTAACCTTTATCTCTGAACCCTTTCTCAATTCTTTACTTCTGTCCTCTGCTGCAACGGAGATTTTACAGTGGGCTCTTACATGTTTGGGCATGGTGAAGATGTAAGGAATCGATGTTGTGGTTTTGTTCTCTTCTCCTAGCGCAGTGACAATCAATTCTGGCCAACCGTCGCGATCTATATCCACACCACGTGCCACTGCGATTCCAAAACCATCGCCTGGCTTTTTGTCCGGTGCTTCGAGGACCTGTAAGAAAGTGTAACATCATAGACGTAATTCGCTCAGTAGGTCAACAAAGGAATTCCTCCTTAAAGAGAAAATTGTACGTGGAACTCACCAATCCACAAAGCTTGCGAAGAGCCACCCCTGTAAAATGATATTAGGCACAAGAAAAGTGTGCGAACATTTGAACACAGTAAAGTTTCAGCGATTTCTTTCCTAAACAGAAATCCTACTCTTGGAGTGAATGAAAATCTTTGTCCAGTTTGTTTGTCCAGCGAAAGCCGTCTGTAAGTGAACGCCCCATATCCAAGACAATGAAACCTTTCAAAATAAACACAATCATAAATCGCATTTCATACAAATCCCGTGCAAATTATCGCGCGCACACCTTTACACTACACAATTATGCCGTGATACAGTCCAGCTGAACTGGAGTTGAGCAAAACGCGTACATAGGAGATGCACAACTGTGTCATAAGGATCACCTTCTTCGCCGACTGAAAATGTGTGTGCTTCTGACCGGTTTCTTTTTCGGTTGTTGTAGTGCAAATCGAGCTGTGAGATACCTCGTTCTACTGGAAACCTCTCGTTAAGTCATCAAGGAAGGAAAGGTACAGTTTTTCTGAAACACTTTGAAAGGTGAAACCATAAGCAAGCAGACTTTCTGCGAAAATGGCAGAATATTTGCCGAAGATAGGTCTGTTTGTTATCAGAAGCAGAACCTTCTGGATACATGCTCCGATCATAGTCCCGGCTACGTGAACGAACCCTCGATGTCTATTAGTTGCTAGTCACGTGAACGCACTGAAAATAGCTCCAAGTATGGTGACGAAGCGTCTGCAAGCCAGTCACAAAGGTTAACGACGGACCAACAGCCTTTTGATCAACACCCAATACACCACATCCGAGTTACCAGTATTTTAGCACTCCTTCTCTTCATTTCTGGTTGGGAATTCATTGGCATGAGCCTACATTATTCACGGTTGAGATAACGGTTGGTCTCAGCGACCACCGGAGGAAAGAATATTGTATCGCGTGGAGCTGATAAACTGCCCCTGATCTCATTTCCGAAAACGAGGAGTGCATATCTCGTGTGTCTCTGAAGACAGCTGCCGAATTTGTATTACCCGAAGACAGAAACTGGTGACAGAGTAGCTCGGTATAATTGAGGCCCACTCCACAGACACATTGCTACACTTGAGGGACATATGTGGTGGTTTTATCCTGCCAGGTAACATGTCCGAAGCTTTGTCACAGGTTCCCATGACGTTTAAAGTTAGTCGTTGTGCTTCTTCTTACCTTCATCCTAATCACAGTTGACGGCTTAACATTGCAGCCAAGCCTGACGCCGATTTCGTCGACTAGTAGTGTGCAAATGAATGTAGCTGAGGGCCAGAGATTCCTAATGCGGAAATCTACTGAACATCACTTTTGAGAAGTCCAAAATAACGAGGCCAGGATGGCCCTTCACTAAACCTAGTGGCGACGACACATAAATAGCCAAGGTTTCGTTGTCGAATAACATCGTTGTGTAGCCATGCCATCTTGCGAGAATTTTCATAAGGCCGTATGCAAAATACCAGTTACCGAGGCAGCGGAATTTCCCATGTAAACTAAAGCCGGTTTTCGAGCTTTTTTTAAAAAAAAGCAGATTTCGTGTGCGGTTGGTAGACATGCATGAGCAATCATACGGCTTCACGCAAAAGAAAGTTAGTCTGAGCAATCATACGGCTTCACGCAAAAGAACGTTAGTTTCTTAGGTTGTCTTTACCACGAAGGGCCGGGTATGTTGTTAAGGCTTTTTAAGGTAAACACTGTCAAGAAAAAAATATCCAGTGAGAATGATGTTACAGGCGTGCTCTATAAGTTAATTTGTATAAGGAACTCTGAGATGTAACGAGATTCAGTGGCTGCTTTTGTAAAACTGTCGCTAGGACAGTACCAGAAGCTGTGGATCTCAAAGGAGCATACTCAGTCAACCTGGTATCCAAAATACGGATAGTGTTATTATCTTTCCTTCTAAGGTTTGGGTTGATTGTTGGTAGAAAAGGGCCTTAGAAAGAGTTCATCCACAATTCAACATCCCAGTCCCTGTGGGCGACCTTCAGGAACAAAATAAACTGAACTGCAACAAACAGAACAAACGGGGGGTGACTGATACCTAGCGGTACACTGGCTGTTTCATCAGTGTACAACAGTCATGTCTGTGTGGGTTGAAGCGAGGAACTTTATCACGCTATCGGTTGGCGTTAACAAACTCTGATTACAAAGCACGCATGTTCGAATATCGAGACAGGGTGACCACACGGGGTTAGGAACAGGTCAGACATTTTTCTCCTACCGTTTTTTAATTTGATGACTTCACACCTGATGAAGGACACCCACTGCGATCAAAATGCTAATTAGTAAAAAGCTGTTCTTTTCACTACGTTTTTTCACTGATAATCAACGCAAACACAGCACGCACTCGATATGTTTAGTGTATTTGACCAGAGACTCTTGTAGATGTTGGTCTATGATCAGATGAAGTAAGCATGAAACTGTGCAAGTTTTATTCAAATTTCGGGTACTGTCAAATATCTCTCAGTTTTTGCACTTGTTGTATTAGCCCTCATACGTCTTGTGACAAAGCTGTAAAAGACCCCCTAAATTCGTCGAGGAAAGTTTGGAGAAATTTTTACTGATTGTCTGTCTCTCAATCTGCCCTTGTGGAGCTGATGTCCTTATCTTCACTGTTTTTTTTTCATTTCAAGCCTTATTTGTTGACACTCCTACAATGAAGAGTGACTGTTAATACATGTGGCCAAATTTAACCGCAAAGAAGATGACGAAATTTGTTTTTCTGTGTGCTCTGTCGGTAAAGTTGTGCGACCGAAAAGATGGGCACAATAATCTAGATTTAAGTAACTGGACGACCAAGCAATACAGGATGGGATAACTGATAAAATTAGGGCAGCGAACACGATTNCCGCGTCCTCACTCTTTCCTGAACTCAGCATATGAATGAATGTCTCCAAAACAGCTTCCTAAGTGATTTCTTAACTTATACAACTTTCTATCCTTTTGAAAATATCTTATTTGATATATCTTAGTGCTCGAGTATTGTACAGTTTGGTTGACAAAAATACTCACTAACGAACAAACGCTTTCGAATCCGACCGTAGAATTTCTCGGTTAACATTTTACGAATGTGCGTATGAGGATGACGAGATGGTTCGGTGATTAGAACCAGATCCGGAAGATTCATGGTTCGGAAACAACCTCGGCATTTCGATTCCCCTGTATAGGCCCTCGTACTTTCTTTGGGTGGCATGGCAGCTACGCACTGAAAGGGTGTCACGGCTGAAGGGTTTCTTTCTTGAAGTTCACACTGTACTTTTGGACGAAAGATTTATTCTTCCTACTGAGACATCCATCAATAGGCATGGTAAGCTGGCTAGACCAATAACATCAAGACTGATTTCATGTTTGTATACTCTCTTGACAAACTCACTGGTATAAAAACAATGTATTAACCATTTTACGCGTCCGACGCGACCGCCTGGGAACGTCATTACAGTGTTTTTATGCAATGTCGAGTACAGAAGCGTCATTTAACGCTTTTTTCAGGCAGATCATAGTGATATGGACGAGTGGACAAGCTGTAGGGCCGCAATAGAAATGGTTGAAATAGTGCACCCCAAAGAAAACTTCGTTTTCTTGTTAGGATTCATACCGAAAATGGTAGGTTACTGGACAGGCTGACGGGAATTAGAGATCCGGCCGTAGAACGCTCCAAACAGTCCCGCGACTGTTAGAAAATAGGGTACGACTAATTACATCCTCCCGTTGTGGGGCGCAATTTCGAGTGATCTGAACTTGCATGGTGTCAGGCTCCACTTGAATCAGAAGCAGAGAGAGCCCTCATACAAAGAAAAGCCATCCGTGTACGTTGTTTTTGACCACCTGTAAACTTTTCCATGCAAGACGATAAGATTTGTAGCACCGGAACAAACAGAGATTGTGGAGCAGATGCCGAAAAAGGGCGTTTGTTTTGAGGAAAAACTAGAGTAGGGTGGATTCCACTATCATGTATACTTGCGAATATTATCAGGAAGTTCAGGTCTTCACTACCATGAAACAACTCCCGGCGATTTTTATACAGGATGACATTAAAAGGAGCCAGCAGAAACAAAGTCAATCGGTCAACATTTGGGATGCAGATACTAAAGATGATCATTCGTGGGGCACAAGCATGCCAATTGGGGATTCTTAAGATAAGCCAGCCTATTTAATGCTGGAGCAGTTGAATGTAACTTTTAAAAGTTTGAGCAGCTGGTACAGTTCAGTGGCTAGGTGATGCTAGATGATGCTGGATGTTCATTTCAGTTAACTTTCGCGTGTAATACACTGGCTAAGACGAATCAAACCTGTTGCAAAAGCACAAAATTCGTGATAAATATTTCTACATCAAAAACCCACTGTAGCGTGAATGTTCATGCTTTTGATTAATCGCTCTTTGTTCCGTTCTGTGTTAAACCTCATTCGAACAGAAAATCAACTACATCCGTAGAAGAGTAATGTAAGTGGAGACTGATAACTTTAAAAGGGGAAGACGAAATAAATCGATTGGATGCGAAAACGACCGAGTCAAATTCTAAGTCGAATTATAAGCAAACTATAATCAGTAACTTCACTTACGGCGATACAGCCCACCGACCGGATGCTTCACCTAGTCTGGCTTTCATGGAGCAATTAATGTCAAGGTTGGAACCGCCGAACCCTGGATAACCATTTACAATCACAGTTGACTGTTAGATTAAAATTTAACTGCACGTCACAGACCGGAAGTGATGGAAGATTTGGTTCCTCAAATCGTTGCTCAATTTTTGCGCATGAACAGTGAAAATATAATCAACTGGATAGGGTTCTAAGCGCGAAACAGCCGAACAAACCGAACGGCATGGGCGAAAATTGTCGTGGTGGTAGAAAGCGACCTGTAGTAGGCTGATGTGCCTGGGCCTTCTTTCCTTCAAAAAAAGACATTACTGCACTACAGTGCTTGTGAGAGTTCCTCAAAAGCAAGAGTTTGGTGCGACAGCCCAGTCGAGGGGTAACTCAAGATAGGCCAAGGACTCTAGTTCGTCTTGATAGTATCCTTCGCAAGCTTTCTCTGCTGCAAAAGGGGTGAGCAAGTCAGGATTTTGACGTTTAAGTTCACCAGATTAGTTAACCTCTCAACGCGACACATTATCACGAGACATTGCTGTGTTTAGAGGGATTGGCAACAAATTGGGTGGCCCGGAGGGTAAGCCAGTGGACTACCCTTCCAAATACATGGATCTGATCCAGGTGGGTTGATTAAACTTGTCTCTCAGTCCCAGTCTTGACAACCTGAATATATCTAAATCATAAGAAGACACCTTTCGGATACACTGAACGAAATATCTCCACTTCCACGAATGCTGGATGCATTATCTAACAGCACAGTACTTCTTTTCGACAGCTCAGGATAATTTAGTGGTTTATGCACAAAAATAATCACGAAAAGGTGATTGGTTGGAATCCAACACCGGCTTCTTGATTGCTCCTGTCTAGACTTGGGTTTCCTGACAGTATCTCAGCCCTCGTGCTTCTTTCAAGTACCATCTCAACTATACAATGAGTGAACTCTTGTTATTTTTTTCCTTTCCACAGCGGTCTCGGAGCATTCCAGAAGAATACGTCGTATAAAACAGATTACCATGCTTCAGGGAGGCCATTTTTAAACAATTTTAGCAGTATATTTTCCATCACTGTGAAACACTTTAAAGAGAGTTTGGCGAGCACGAGGAAGTGATCTATTGGTTCCCAACGTTTATTGGTTATTCGCATCATACCAGGGTGTGGCGCAGACGGATCAACCAAAACTGAGTTATGGCTGACAAATTCGTTGAACCACGAGGACGGTGGCTGATCGGTGACACACAGTTGGCCTGTGTGTATTAGCCAGGTTGATGGTGATCAGATTATAGGTTACCTGAGTACATATAATTCTGATCTTTCGTGGACGGTTGCCGGGTTGAAAGGTAAGGAAAAAGTACCCATCCAACTGCGCACTGATGATGTCTCCTCGTGTGGTGAGTGAACGTTTGCAAGCCAATGGCGAACAGATAAATCACCTGATCAACGACCAGTATTTCAACACATTACCAAAGCTTGTCAGGTTATTGTCCTCTGATCAAACAAAAAGAGACATTGGCGCACACTGGAATAAGGAACTCGCCATCTGCCAGGGGAACAACAGACTGGAACACGCACTTGGACGTAATTGGTCACGAAACTTTGCCTTTCTCCTTTTCCATTGAGGCGTGAGCATTGCTGGGTAGCGGCCAAATGCGTTGAAACTCGTACCGTTTTTAGTGTACTTAGCTCCTTCTCAGGAATTCTTGGGAAAAGTCAATATTATGCCCAGAGCTAAAGTTGTGTTCGAATTTCCTTAGAGATTTTCCCAATATGCATATATTCGATGCTAGCGTCGGAAAGTTTCTTCGCTATTTTTCACGTACAACGCAACTTGTGAGGTGTTCGTGTTGGTCTTTCGGTTTAAAAAATAGCTTGGAGATTCGAATGGTTTACTTTGGTCATCTAGGAACCTGTTGAATGCGGTTCTGAACGAATTTTTCATCCACTTGACAGTTGTCGAGCCGGCACTGAGACAGCTGGACACCAGCAATTTGCAGAAAAGAGGATATACTCGTATTGAGGGTTGCTATAGATGGAGTGATTTCATCTATTCCCACTAGTATCCATGGAACGACATTCCATTAAATGTCACACCAAGTACCAAGTGTTCCAATGACCGAAAATTTGGTGTGTATTCATCGGTTGTGTAAATATAACCTGTCTGATTCATTTACCAGTTTTTGATACGTTCCCAATAGGTTGGTTCGAAGAAACTATACAGAAGAAAAGCACCCACGTACCCACATACTGCTAATCAAGCAAGTCGAATCGCATTAATGTATACAAAAGCACTTCATGTTACATGACGTCCAAGGTGAAAATGTCGATCTATCTTACATGGACCGCACCCTAGTTTGGACAAATAAACAAACTTTCTCGTTGTATGGACAGGCATAAAGTCGATGTTATTGCATGTCAGGCTAGGAAAACGTTCGTACAATGCTAACTTTGTGTGTACAAGTTATATTTGTCAAGGATGAATAACGGTCAGTGTGAGTCATGCATACCGAGACAAACAGTCAAGAGATAGGTGGTTGCGCTCGCGGTCAGATAAGATCGGGGGAAATAGCAAATGACAGGAATAACTTCACACAAGCTGGTTTCTCGTATTGAGGTCTGGGATTCCAGACCAACTAGTCACCAGTAAGATAAACATTGCAAATGACTTGGTGACACTGCATAATTCCCTTCACCCAAGTCCCGATAATTCCTGTCTGTATGAAAAAAGATATCAAGGGTCTTCTGACGTGTGATGGTTGATGTTGCTGTGCGGGGCTCAAGGGAAGTGGATTTCTTTTCAATCTATACGCTATAGGTGGTCGTCTACTACTTTGATTTAATGAAGACTGTTTTGCAGCCCATTAAGTACAAACAAAATCTACATGGCTTTAGACTGAATGCCGTTGAAGGGAAAGTTACCTTTGAGTAAGTAGTAAAGGTAATGGAGGCACCAGGAAGACACTGATAATATTTGTTTCTGTACATGCTACACTCAAGTTATGGTCCCTTCTCTGCTTAATGACCCTCTCTGCAGCAAGCTGCAATCCAAAACTGTCATATTATTAAACAGGGAATCCTCTAGGAAGTAGGCCAAAAAGCGATGAGTTCACAAATACATATCAACAAGCTTATAATCTGTTGTAAACAGATAGTACTACGTAAAATCTTTGTTATCACCAGAGTACAACGAAAGTATCGATCTGAACTTGTGCGTTTTCATGTGTTACTTCGTGACTGTGCTGTGATGTGGTTGGAAGACGACCTTATATATCATTCTCCTGGTCGTGAGGAAGTAGAACATTCTGAATAAAGGTCGTTCGATTCCATTAAACATTTTATTTTAATTTTACACGCATATGCTATCACAGCACGGTGTCTATTCAATATGGAGTTAAGCCACTACTTCGTGGTACTGAGAATTTTGTACGATTCCTTTGAGAAGTGGGACGGTAGGACTGTAGGTTTCTGTGACAGAAGCAATAATTTATTCATCCTAAGGGACAAGTGATACTTCCAATCAAGTTAAACCACGTCAAGCACCAAGCAGCTCCATTCACCGAAAAGGAGAATTTCGGACATTAAAAAACCACGTGTATTGAACACATTGCTGAGCTGTCTTCGATCAATCCACGTTTATCAGTCCTGTTTAGACAAAGAATTCGGGCGTGTAAATAACACACAGGAGTTGTTTTTACTCAGAGTCTTTGGAACAAACAATTGTATCTATAAAGCAAGTTGATCCCACCGTTTTGATTTTAAATGACTCACACAAGCCTTTGCAACTCAAAAGTGAGCATCAGTCACTGTTTGTAGAGTGGCAAGAGGTTTGACTGATGAGTATGGACGAATTCTAAGGGTGGATAAACGTGAATCTCAAGTTGAAACTTATTAATATCTAGCATCAAAAATGCTAAAATGGTAAAACACCAATTATATTATGCCGTCTTGCGAGAGATTCTGGTTCAAAACCGATATCGAGGTGGGGGAGAGGACAGAGTATTAGGTGTGACACCCTTCGCAAATAAGGGGCAACTTAAGGTCACACTACAAGTTGATACAACACAAATGTAGGAGATTAGATGGATTGTTACTTCGAGTTAATCAATAAGAGAACATTACCTGGAGTGGTACTGGAGCCAGTTTGCAATCTGAAGTCACACGATGAACGTACACCCTGCCATTAACTGAGTTCTGATTTGAATCTCCTCGCATTCCAGGAGCACCAATTGCAATGTCGTCAATTCCATCGCCGTCAATATCTCCCAAGCGTGCCAAGGAATATCCGAAAAAGCTGTAACTTTCCGGACCATCCAAATTAGGGCCGACAATCTCTTGTTCAATACGTTCTAGGTCCGGACATACAATGTAGACACGTCCAGTGTTTGGACCCTTAACCGAGTGGTAACTGAAAGGGGCACCCACTATAATAGCATAATCCGCTCTGCTCTCATTTGTAAACAATGGCACCCAAAGTGTTTCCAAAGCTTGTCCAAATCCGGAGAAGGTCGTCATTCCACTGATCTTTGGCCTTATTCGAAAGACCACATCACTGGCTCGAAATCCATTAGGTCGATAAGCCGTAATGCTGGGTCCAGCCTTACCCGACGGAGAACTAACTAGCGCCAGGTACTCCCTAGCTGACTGCACAGAATTTACCTCTTCAGAACCTGCACCCGTATTATTATTGGCAGATCTAAATGCCTCCTTCTGATGGGGTGTCCATAGCACCTGAGTTCCAAAGTTAACTTCTTCCGACTGTAGCACGTCAACGGACTGTTTTCCGCCCTCGGTTAGTCCCTGGAATCCACGTAGGGCATTGTTAATTAGCTGTGCCTCACCAAACGGCTGGCTAAACGGTAGACCGACCAACAGTTTGGCTTCTGGGAAACGTCCATTCTGGTTAACACCCAATTCAAGCAGGTCCACCGAGAATCCTCCACCACATGGATTCGAACGATCAACGCTGTTACAGAATGAATGGAAGCTGGTTGGCTCACCGGTGGCCGTTTCAGTCCACCGCCCATCTTGACGTAGTCGGATGCGACATCCTCCTCCCGCATGGTTCATGTCATCCCTCCATAGGGGATCACAGTATACAAGTGCAGAGCTGCTTCTAGTAGACCGTAGTTCCAGACTGCGTAAGGACATACCAAGTAATCCAGCTTTGTGATCGCTGGTCGACACTCTGCTCACTTCAATAGGATGGCAGTCATCCAAATTGAAGCCCACAGGGCTACTCTTTTGGGCGGATAATGCGCAAGCAACTACAGCTACGGCTTTCTTCGTCATTGAAGTCAAATTCGCCTGTCGATTTGGGACAGAACCACCGAGAGCAATCCAAGTGATAGATAGATTGCTGTTTAGTGATTCTCGAAATCCTGTTACACTCACCCACTGAAAGGCATATGCTTTAGCGTCACCAAGTGCATTATTGATGGAGTCGGTTAACTTCCGTTCAAGCGTAGAGTCTATAAAGTGTTGGTAAACTGTGCCGTCCGTAGAAGCATTGTGGTTGGGATACCAGTAGGTGTTTATTAGACCGGGAAGAATTATAAGCAACTGACAGAACAGATATAGGAGCTGAGACATGAAGCGTAATACACATAGAAACGGACCTGTGCGAAACTGACATGTCAATTAAAGCATGATGATAATGGCGGATATGTGTGAGTGATCAACCAATAAAACTACTGACACACCTTGTCCAATCGTACAGAACCTACGATTTATCTCAAATTCGACGCCCTTCAAACACTTTCATCACAGTCTGATCGAAAAATAAACACTTGGCGGAATGTGAAGAGGCGTGAAGAGGTTCTCTGTGTGAATGTGGTAATCCGGGTACGTCCAGCGTGCGCTAGTGAAGTAGTGCTCGCCTAGTATGTCAGATGTCTTAGGTTCTGATCCGAAGAAGGTTAAAAGTATGTACTGCTGATTAGCTTTAATAAGGGTGGAACTCTAGACCAGTTAAACAGAATGCAACCAAGTCTACCACACACAGAGCTTGATTGACGAAACAAAATGTGCGCCTTTCGAGGACTTACAACATTATGATTTGCGCCTTTTCGGTAAAGTTATAAACAATCTAACTGTGTCTATAGTCTCACTGCGAAATGTAACTACAGAAATGCTTCAGCAGATGTTTGAAAGAGGTCATTTCAAGAATAATGTCTGATTCCACATTGCGGTACCCTGCTGTCGACTAAAATTGTAAAGGACAAGTGGTCCAACGTAGATAATTCAGTTTAGAGCCACTTGACCAATGAGGATGACGATCGTCGTTTGTAAGTAAATCCACAACATTTGTTCAGCCGCAATACCCTCTCTGTGCCTAAATGTCATACCACCTGAAGGATGCTATAGGGCTAATGTCAGGACGCTCGCGCTTTAACAGGAGCAGCCTATATGCAAACTTTGGGTTCGTATCACGGACCTTCTGATCAGTAAGTTCGCACCTTAAACTCCGTACTGTCCCGCGCTGCACCCCCACCATGGAAGAACATTATGAATTTTCAGCACGTTAGGCTGTATTTCATTAACAAGTAGTAAAATGACTAATTAAATTGATGTGTGACGAAAGTCGGAAAATTTTCAAATCTATCCTATTCTGAGTGGGAAAAGTTGTACGTAGGTTGTACAGGTTCCCAATACCACTAATAAGGATTGAACGTATTCGGCAGATTGCTAGCAGCTGTCCCAAGGATAGTGAGAAATACTGTTCCTCCTTCCTTCCTTCGTGAAACACTTAATTGTTGCATTATTTTTGAGGAACCTACATTAGCGCGTAAGGAATCTGTGAAACCCGGGATGTTAGTTCATAAAACCATGTGTTTTGCCGTTGGAAAATGAGGTATACGAATGACAGGAGAAGCGCTAATATTTTACTGCATCGTCTTTCATTAATAGTTATTAGGATACTTTCACGCGATTCTGAGTTACGTCTACTGCCACTCAACCTTTGGGTGTATTTTTGTTACCAAAGTAATCATTCCTCTGTTGTACCGTTGTAGTGCCTATCTGCTATGCCACTCAAAAGAACCACGAGGGCTGAGATACTGTTAGATCTTCCGAGTCTAGACAGGAGCAGTCGATATGCTGGGTTGGGCTAGAAACAAGAACCTTCTGATCAGTGAGTCCGTGCCTTGGCCACTGAGCCATCTCGAGCTCTAACTTCCAACAACTTTTTTCGAATAAATTCGATCAGTTTATAAATAATGACTCTCCGCCTTGTGTCTCAACCAGTTCAGTATAACCATGAGAGCGGTGTATATTTTCCACGGTCTGTGAAGTGTTTGGTCTTCGAAATCTTTCAGTCAGAGAAACACCGTTCAGTATTGAAATATGCTTCAAATTTTGAATCACAAATGACCCATAGAAAACGTTCAGTAGATAAAAATGGAATTTCCGAAAATAAACTGGAAAAACGACTTTGTTAGACAGAATTCCTTTTTTTCCGTGAAGATTTCAACCTCCAAAGTTCTCATACGGTAGGATAGCATCAGTCTTCAGGTTAAACCGCCATACAGAAATGCATCGATTGAGCCTCGAGAACAGTACTCACCGAACGTACGTGGCTTGCACTCAGCTGCATGTGGAACAAGGTTAACGTCCTGTACCCAGCGTAAACCCAACTAATAGGACTGGAGCGCCAACGGAAGGCTAGCTGAAGTCGACAGCATTCTTAACTGATTACTCACTTGGAGACAACTAAACAGTTGAAAACCATATTGTGCACGAAGTGTCTCTTGGTAGCCCACATCACTCACAAGAATCATCCAAGAGGAGAGTTGGTGTTCAGGGAAAACCACTTTTAACACCGTTTCAGGCTTAACGCTCCCGAAGATCCGAAATGTTAAGGCGCATCACATGCAGATACATATGTGGAATTCACACAAGATACCATAAAACTGCCCAAGGTAGCAGGATTCGATTCAGCACACCAAAACACTTAAACAAAATAAATTACGGCTACTAACGAAGCGGATGAAAACGAACCGGCGAGCCACACAAGGGACCTAAAATAGCAAACCAGCTAAGATACCTATAGTTTTGGTTCGTAGTACTACCCCACGGTCGTGCGGAGCTTAAGATGGGGCAGTGGTTGTGGCATGGACCTTATGACAGAAGGGTCCGTGGCTCGAACCCAGTCAGCGCATTTTGACCACTGCTGTCAAGACTTGGGTAGGCTGGCAGTAGTTCAGCCTTATTGCTTCCATCGGGTGGCGTGGCAGCTGGACACAGAAGGAGTGTTGTACCTCAACGATAATTCACCTCAAACCACTTCGAGGGATACCCACCATTCCAAGTGTTCTCACACAATACAATAAACTTGATCATATTGAGACTATGGTGTACAGTACATGAATTTCCGCCATACTTGACAGTGGTCTTGGTATTAGGGCCATATAAGGACATGGAATAAGTGTAATTAGGCACAAAGCCGTGGCCTATACTAAGAGTTTTCCCAAAGGCGTTGACGAGCACACTTTATCGATGCTCATGAATCCGGTCTTCTAACGAATATTGTAACAACAGATGACGCAACGCAGTGGAAGCTTTCCTGTAGCCAAGATGATAATTTACGTACACTTCGCCGGGGATTCAAAACACGAGAAACATGAGATCAGGTATCACAACATACGTTGTCTTGATTTTGTGCTACTTATGAGTAGCATGTATTCTCACCCTGTAGACTACTGGAGAATTCCTGGACGGGGAGTGTTGGGACAGAGAAACATATGGCTTGTTGAAGGAATTCGTTCAAGTCACCCGTGATCTTCGCCTACAAGGTAACTAGGTGATGGGCCGAAGTGTTGAAGTGTCACTAGGAACAACATGGGTTTAATCTACTGTTACATCAATATTCACAATAGAAGTCAAGTGGGAAACTTTCTCCAAATGCAGGCAAGTGTAACTCTGTGTGCTTATTATCATCGTCATACCTCATGCACAGTACCCTAGTGAATATGAGCATCCGTCTGCTGCACATCTTCTCTTCAGGACTACCGAAAGAAAAGTAACAAGTATCTTTGTTCTTACTATTATCTAGATTGCAGTGGAAATGTTTGGGTTATGTTAGTTCTGAATTCTTGACTTTGATACGGGAACTTCAGTCTAATTCATAACATACTATGGTGAACTTTAAGGGGTTTGTGTACTCATCAATTGTAGCTACGAATCTTTGTCTTCTTAGATGGACTGATTCACGAGTAATGTCAGGTTTTACAAAACACTACCGAAATAGAAGGAGATCCTCTAGGACCGTCGCAACATCATTGGCTTATTCAAAATGTAGGTCAGGTGATATTTTTCACCTGCTATTGAATCTAATACTGGTCTGTAGCAAATATACCTTTAATGTGGAGACTTTCTAAGCCATCGAGTCGATAGATTCATCCAGAAAGGAGAGTATTATGAGCAGCTGATATGTATTCCAAATTTTGCTCAAACTTGATCATAACTTCTCAATGGGTATCCGCCAGTAGGTCCAGGCGAAAAAGGGGGGTCAAAATTTGCGGTTCTCATCACTTTGGAATCTGGAAAACGTCTTAAAATATTTGTTTATCAGTAAGATCCTCTTCTCGGATCAAGGCTGAGGGGGAACAGGGCAATGTCCGATAAGAGAAACGACATCTCTCTTAGGAGGCAGAAAGGTATGTGGTAAACACGTTACTAAACATTCGAAAAAGTGCGTTAACATCCCTACCCGTCAGGAATCGAGTAGTGAAGGGATTTGGTTTTCCTTTGAAGAGGTGATCAGGTTCACTGGTAAAAACGTGCCAACAGTTTCTATAGCCGTTATTGTAATTTGAGTGACATTAACTGGCGAAGGGGTCGGGAGATCCGAAGAATGTTAATTTATCAAAAAATTACTCAAGAGTGAAGCCGTAGTCGGGCCTACTAGGAAGCAGTTTATTTGTTTATTTATTTATTTATTCTTTTTTCAGCCATTTGACCATTAGTAAGGACTCTTCAGTCTAGCGATACGATCGCCCTCTGAGTATCTCTTGATCAGAGTAACTGAACAAGAAATAAATTAAAAAAATGCTCCTCTAAAATTGACCGTAGCACGTGGCAAAGCAGAGAAAAATTTTGCTGATAGTGACTCATCACCCATGCCTCCACAGCCGAAGCCAATCAACTATGAACAGATAGCGGTAGGTAGTTGACGGAAAGTCTAGCGTTGATGAAGTGTAGAGACCGCAAGATTTACTGTTGATGCGGACTTGATGAGGTCTTTAACAAAATGGCAAGTCACTGTGGTGACAGGAGGGAAATAGGGAGTGGAAAATGCACACACAGCGTTTGGACAGGGGCCATACCAGTCGCGGTACCCATTTCCATGGAGTCGCGACACATGTTCGGACTTGTTTGGTCTCATCATGGACAGAATGCAGCTGGATTGAACACTGGTGCTTTACTAGCATGTATCGATACATGATATCCTATGAAACCTATGCCGCAAGCGAATAAAAACAAAACAGTAGGGGCACATCTTTGTTCTAGCATTCCACAGACATTCTGAATTGTCTCCATCGTTCACTCTTGAAAACTGGTTTGAACCTGTTATTGTGAAAGCAATTGACATCGATTGGTGACCGTACGTCTTGGCTTCTCCAGGCGATGGTAAACATGATCATCTAAACCAACCATACAGAAACTGCCTACACATTCCGTATTACTGTATGCCTTCCAATAAGATATACCCTCTTCCTGGTTTGGACAGTCGGTTATAAAACACTTCTTGTTGGGTAAAGGGCTAGCATATGATGAAACAAACAGAGCTCGTTGCCCAAAAGACTAGCGGCAGTTATCATGACTCATCGACAAAAGGAGTGTCTGTGTGTTCGTTAGCATTCACAGTTACAGACCCGCTGATAAGCTGGGAATACGTCCAATACGGTTTAGATAAAGAATCACTTTTTCACATGCAGAAGGAGGAGATACTGTTCTCGGAGATGTGATGCTTCCAAGACTGATGTCATCCGACCACAAAAGTAGCTTTCCTTGAAGAAAGACGTTAGGGGAAGAACAACCAACCCAACCAGGTTGAGAGTTGTCCTCTGCGTACACACCCTCCTTATTTTGCTGCACCGGGAGCATGTATATTATATCCTCTGAAACCATGAGCCATCGCATGTTGAATACGTGTTGGTTTGTCGGCGTTGGTTTAACTAATGGTGTGTGAATGCCTGTCTTGATCATCGGAATGTTAGGTGGATGAGTGACGGAGTAGTTAGATCACCCTGAGGAGAGAGGATTTCGGGCCCTTGGTCACCAGTCAGTTTATTGACTGAACACCCCACCACCCAAATCATCACACAATACGGTTCTCGTGCTTTCGATTTAACACAATCGCTTGTTACAACCAAATTGAACCAAGGATCCACAAGCAAGACGCAGACCTGGCCAGTTGAACATGGATCGAGTGGGGTTCATGGTGATGAAATTGTTTGTGTGCATCGTTTCAAGGTCGCATTTCCCAGAATGACTACTAATCACTCTATATGACTGACGACTACGCCATTGACGCCCTACATAGGAAAGTGAGACCTAGAATGACGCACACGCATACAATATTTTATTTTTGGAAACTTCGGAGACTTATCTGTGATCTCCTTGTGAGTGGTTTGCCGATTGCGCACAAGAAAATAAACAATACGGACAGCAGTGTACTCACTTTTCGTTACCATTCTCTTGTTACAATAAACTGTTGTTGGGGCAGTGTTAAAAGTACAGTTACATTTATTGTAGAACTAGGGACCATTAGAAGAGAGTCCCCCTCCTAATGAAAGGAATTTTCATCCACTTCAGAATCATCCACAATCGAAGAATATTTAATTTTTCAGCTTTCCGAAATGGGTTTCATGTGAATCTTGTCAAATGGTAAACATCAGGTTCGTCTTTCTACTTCATAGATATTTCACAAAATGAACACGTCTACAAAATTCATCCGTTTTTTTCTATTGAAGTGCGTTTGCGAACGTATATTTTCCACTAAGAGTGCAATTTTCCAGATGTAGACTTCTTAAAGTTGACGAAGTACAGCTAGGTATCTTTCGAATTCCTCACTTGTCTGTGTCTGCAATGAACAGTCATTTACGTGGTTTGAAAAAAAAATACAGTGTTCCTTCTCTGAAGCGATCATTCTTCTTTTCTCTAGCAACCATCTCCGATAATATGACTTTCTGCGAAACTCAGCTGTAGGGTTGCTGTCCTAATTCTCACAGCGACTATTTCTTTACCCCATTTCTGAGCCCAACCTCTCTCTACAAGAACCATCACCACTGTACAACGGTTTGGTAGGTCTGTTTACCGCTTATATACGTGACAATTCCTTTAGGCAAGGACGGATGATAAATAACCCAAGAAGGCTGAACTGAATCGAGCATTCGGTTTATCCACCGTGTAACTTGATATAGTTTGGGGTCAGTTTTACGGGAAGAACAAATATGCCTGTGACCCTAGGATACATGTATCCACCCGTCTTATTTTGTCCAGATGATACGGCTCAACAATAACAAGGGGCATCAAAATGTAAATTAACTGGCTAGCTATCTGCAAATACTTTCCCGTTTGTCTCAACTCTAGTCACGCCAGGTCGCGACCGCAAATCCTATCTGACACTGAAACAGAAAGTCGAGGCAAGTTACATTTCCAACGCAAACGACACAGAGTTGCAAAGCGCGTCGAAGCAAAGAGACGTAGTAGATAGTTGATGGATAGAAGGGGTTTCAAAAGAAGAGAAAAAATTGCACCTATCGCGATGCGTCTACGGAGATCTGAATGAGATGTGATGCACGCTGCAACAGTATACGGGTATCAGACTCAATGACCCAGGATTCAGAATTTTTACCGATACACAGAATCCACGGAAGACAATAGCTGGTCGTTCGGTCTTCAAAAGAAAACGAAACAGGCTGTCGGTATTGAGATAGTTAGCCAAAGTGGAAATGGGTATTTGCATGCTGTGGAAAATTTGAAGAACACTGTCCAAAGAGCACTCTCAAATAGTAAGGAACGAAGTTGTTCGACTGTGTACTTCGAAGCAGTCTCTTATTGAAAAGAGGTCAATGAGATGAACATTCGAGAGTAACAGTGACCATGTATTCTGTGTAACTCAGAGGGTGATAAGTTGATACGGTTTGTGGTTGGAAATCAAAACTGCACCGAAATAAGAATCAAATATACATCTGATGAGAAGGTTTAGCTGACTAGAAACATTTCCACTATCTAGCCAAAGCCCTCTCTTAATAAAAATGATATCGAAGACAGTAGTATTCTGTCCTTGCTGGACAACAGCGTAGTCAATCCTGATGTTTTGTTCAGTGATCCCAAACTGGTGTTTTACTGGCAAACATATCAACCACTTGACGTGTGCACTGTCCAGGCGACGAAACTGATATGCGTTAAACGTCATCATTATTCTGAATTAATGAATTCTGTTGATACAGCACAGTGAATTGCGGAAAATCTAAAACGACCGTTTTCCGTCACAGCTCGTCAGTCTATGGGGGGGTATTGCATTAAAAATGCCGAGAGATGCATTAGACCTCATCGGTAACGTAACACAACCGTATAAGTACTGGCGCTGCTGCCTTGGAACCATTTTCATGCACACGAGCACCAAATGAAGAAAGAGCTTTCTTAGTAGTTTTACCACGTTTTTCCTAGTCCGGCGATGCCGGATATGTGTGCTGAACGTATTTCTGTCAGGAAAATGAATAGTGTGAGCATACTGAACTCCTATATGGCAGTCCTCTTCAGTTCAGAAATGATGTAAAGTTTAGCGAAAATTAAAAGCCACTTCACTTTGAGGCTACTCGGTATCAAGTGAGTCTGAGATACCATGCTGGCCTAACTATCCGATATATTTGGATACAGTTCGAGGAGCAAATACGGGTCAAAGTGGAATTAAAACGTTTGCCTGTGAANGATAACATCGAAACAGGAGCAATTAAACATGGCTCCAAGTTACCATCATCAATGATTTGGTTTTGTAGAGCGTGTTGGTGTCAGACTGCTCAGGATTCATAGTTTTATTTTACGCTGGCAAGCAAACGTAACCAGACCCGGAAGTCACTCCAGCCACTGGCAGTGTTGGTTGGTAGAATAAACGGTACTTGAAAGAATTGTCGCAAAAACAAATGCTGACTGAACAGAGCAAATCTGCGCTTAAGTAAACACAACTGAACAGGCATTCAAACACAAGCAGCAACAATAATTTTCAGGAACTGGTCACCGACGGACCAGGTAGGTCTCCTTGTTGATTTCAGAGAACGATAGAAACTGTCTCACTCGTATTAGGATGGATGTATTGTACTAAAACAAACCTGGTTGACAGAAATCAAATAGTTTTCACCACACTGGGTTATCCCGCATGATAGAAGATTTGTTAGTTTTCAGTCATTTTGGGCTTGTTGGTAACGTAAGAAGATTTGCGCATATTTCAATGAAGATTTCGTAATGTAAGTACCGCCACTTCATCCTTATTGAAGATCATCTGCAGTGCACATTCGAGGAATTTTCAATCTCTTGGTTAGTAGTTGAAAACGGAACCTTTCGAACACGAACGGTCAGTTAGGAGTTTGTAAATTCGAATCCCCCGGAGAGGTTCATGAGTTGCGCGCGGTTAAGGAGTACAACTAAGGATGAAACAACGGAGCAGTGCTCCTCAGTTTGGAACTTTCGATGTTTGTCTCCTATTCACTCTGAGCAAGCATGAAAGACCCTATAATACAGCCTAACCAAAACCCAGAGAGAGGCGGTAAGAAATTCGGAGGCGAATCTGCTAGGAGATTCCATCTTAATTCTCGAGCTAACTCAAGGTCTAGACTAAAGCGATAACTCGAATTTCAACATTTAAACTGTCACTGGAACATTAAAATGGTGTATATCGTCATTCCTGAACAGTTAAACCATCCACCTGGCCGTATATTTTGGGCAATATCCAGTGAGACACTCCAAACACAGTCACTTTTTGCGCCCCAAAAAGCCTGTTTGCCTAAATTCGGGACTTTTTCGGACTTCGAGATGACTGCACCGCAACGAAAATTTCCTGCCAAAGAAGCTCCAAAAGTAGTATTGTATTGCAAAAACAGCCGCTGAACTTTCAAGGAGCAACTGCCACACAGATTAGTATGAAGTTCGAATTTGGAAGAAATTCCGCCCGTAGCTGGACAACAGTAAGTGACGTTGGAAAATGTAGTATGGTTTTGGCCCGATGTGATTTAGTCCTCTTGGTCCCACTTACCGAAGAAAACTAACGGGTGACAAGTGTACCTAACAAAAGGACTGACGGGATCTCCTGGGAGAAAAGTGTACCACATCTGATTATTCTATCTAGATCAAGCAGATAAGCAATAACCAGTCGGCAGACTGCTAAGAGTCTTCAAAAAGACGACAACACGTGCTATACAAAGATATACAGATATACAGTATAAAAATCCGAATGATGAAGATGTGCTTCAACGGACACCTCGAAAACCGTAACATACCTGCACTGCTATCGGGTCCAAAGTACATTGCGGAGTCACTCGATGAATGTATACCTTGCCATTGATAGACGGTTGAGATGAAGACGCTTGAATTCCCGGAGCTCCAACCACAATATCATCAATTCCATCCCCATTCACATCACCCAAATTCGCCAAAGAATAGCCAAAGAAACTCTGACCTTCTGGGCCTTCCATTGAACTCACAACTTCTTGTTCGACAAGTCCTGGTTTCGGACACAAGATGTAGACCCGTCCGGTGTTTGGGCCTTTCACCGGATGGTAATTGAAGGGAGCGCCCACGACAATAGCATAATCAACTCTGATGTCTTGGCCGCTCAGTGGGACCCGGATTGTTTCCAAAGTTTGTCCGAATCCGGAGAAGTCCAACGTATCATTGGTCCTTAGCCTGATTCGAAAAGCTACTTCACTAGCTCTGAAACCAGTATGCCGATAAGCTGTAATGGTGGGCCATGGTTGGCTAGAAGGGGAACTGACAAGTGCAAGATTTTCCCTGGTCCACCATTCCGGTATCTCTTGATTGTCTACCGTGGTTGTTTTGTTCGCATTGGGTCGGGAATTTGGTGATTCTGCTGGTATCCTGTTACCCTGTGTCGGCGTCCAAACAACCTGAGTACCAAAACGTAGCTCTCCTGATCGAAGTATATCCACATTTGATAGGTCATTTGAAGGGGCTCCTTGAAAGCGCAATAAGACATTGTCAATCACCTGCGCTTCACCATGGGGCTGGGTAAACGGTAGACCGACGATCATTTTTGTATTGGATAAACGGTTGTTTCCACCGGAGGCCACCTCAAGTAAGTCCACTGAAAAGCCCCCACCGCAAGGAGTTGAATGGTTAAACGAACTGCAAAACCGAAAAAATTCATCGAATTCGCCGTTGGCCAGGGAAGCCCACCCCCCATCTTGACGTAGCCTAACACGACATCCACCCCCCGGATGCTTCCTATCATGCCGCCACAACGGATCACAATAGACAAGTACAGCAGTGTTTCGAGTGGATTTTAACTCCAGACTGACTATACTGAAACCAAGTAATCCTGCTTTGCCATTGGACGTCGACACTCTACTCACTTCAATTGGATAACAACTATCTAGCTTGAAGCCAACAGGACTGTTTTCCTGAGCGGATATTTGACAACCAACAACGGCAACTGCACTCTTGGCCAGCGAATTTGCATGCACTTTTAAATTTGGTATTGATCCACCAAAAACAATCCATGCAACAGAGCCATGTTTATTATCTGATGCCTCCCGGAAACTGGTAACGCTTGTCCACTGAAAACCGGAAGCAGTTTCATCTCGAATCGCCTGATTGACGGTGTTGGTTAGCTTGTGTTCAAAGGTTGGATCAAAATAATGCCGAAAAGGCGTGGAGTTTGATGATACGTCATGCTTAGGATACCAGAGTGCGCTGACATAGCTTGAGGTACATAAAGAAAACACAGTCCAAAAGTGGAAATACCAAGACATAGAGGCTCACACGCAAGGTACTGAGTGAAGGTTCTTTTCGCACCTGTTTGAAACGTTTGTGGTATGTGCTGCACGTGCCTTATTTGACCAATGAGTGCACGAACACAGTCATCCAATCCATTTCGAGTCTCGCAGGCCATAACAGCCAATCACTGAGCATCTGGGCGACCGATTTGCTGTTTCTGACACCACACCGCTGCCATCCTGGTGAATACGACATTAAACTAAGTTAATTTACCGATTTCCCCCTTTAAAAATGTCAACACCTAAACACTATCCTAGTTCGCCGTTTCAATGAAGGAGAAAATGCGTTGATGTTCCTACCTTTCCAATAAAGCCACAGAAAACTGCGCTAAGCAATGCTGTGCAAGTTATCTTCTCCGATTCGTTCACGGCCCTTGTGGAGGATATGTAACTGATTGTTTAGATACCATGACAAGCTTTATAACCGAAAAGAGCATATCCTTGGTTCAGTTCTGATTGGGACCATCTAGATGGCGTGGCACATGATTGGTCACACAGTACAGACTAAAAATCTGATTTTGTGTCGGTATGGTAAAATTGGAAGTGCCGTACAGACTGGGAATTGTGAAAAAAAATTCCATAGCTCTTATGGGGAGCTGAAAACAAGGATTTGACATTTAGTTCGAATGAGCTTTAACAGAACGAATGGAAATATGGGATTTTCCATGCCAAGTAAAATGTAAAGGAATCACTGCATGAAATACCGTGAAGTAAACGGTAGCCCCATTAATACGGTGTGGTCAGTTACTGATTCCAATTCATCCAGAACTGATTTGCACGTTATTTACAGATACAGTTTCTTGTTTCCGAAATTAGTGTAGATTTTTCGCATATTGGGTGTTATAGACATAATTGATGCAGGGGATTAACTAGATGTGGCCGAAACCACTGTAGCTGTTAGAATTTGTGGACAGCACTTTTGAAACCTTCAGAAACACCGAAGCCAAGTATGACCAATCGTCACCCACTCTGTGAGTCCTAGTCACAGTGGTGTTAGATCAAGAGCTGAGCCTATCTAAGCTTTACGGCAAAGGAAATTTCTCTTTTAGGATCTTAGGAAGTCACTGTGCGAATTCTATCAGTTTTGATTTACTCAGGTTAGGTTCAACCACCAACTCGCTACGGGGTCTGAAACTCTGTCCACTTTGGAGCTATGATCCCATCATGAATTCTGAGAAAATGCCTCTGACCTACCTTATTAGACTAAGTTCAGCAGCGATTAATAATTCATGAACGCGAGGAGTCCATTTCAGTTTTTTTTTATTTATCGGAGGAAGAAAACTGCCCACGACTTCCACGATGCGTCAGTTGTAGGGAAAGAAAAATACAGCTATTCTTGCCGGCAGCTGCGGTATATTTATAAGATAACTTAACCGAAGCCCGGTCAGTACCACAGACAAGTGTGAAGTCTTGCGTGAAATGGATTCAGACAGTCAGACAAACCCGCAGATATTACCAAAGAATGCAGTCAAGCGTTTCATGAAGTAAGGAGAAGAGCCGAGAAAGTTTGATTAGAATCACTGTTTATTCTTTTATTACAAATCCTACAGAAGTCCATGTCCCGTCTAATAAGATTAGTGTTAGATATGTAAAACTTCCTATAAGTTACGCCCGCAGTATTCATACAATTATTGCATTAATTCATACACCAATAACAGAACAACATCACCGATGAACATAGGTACAGAACTATGTGAACCCCGGTCATTCATAGACAATCTTGGCCACATTGTGGCTTCACGAATGCTAATCAGTCTGTTGTGATGGTCACAGATTGATCGCAACCACATGAAGAATTTACCACGGTGTAAACAAAAGGATGACACCGAGCCGTCACTTGAAGAGCTTTTGTGACAAGGTCGAACGCGACCGAAAAATGGGTTAAGTGTGTAAACTGGATGACAATGGTATTACAAAAAGAAAATACGGCGTTAAAAACCGCAAGTGAAATAGCTGTAAACTGTGAGCATCACAGCACTAGCCTGCTTAGTTGACTTCACTGCCCTACCTCAATTTAGGATTTATTAAGAAACTCTTCCAAAAGCTATTCCCGTAGGAACAGCAAAAGCGGTAGTAGACTGTCCAGATTTTTAAGTAACCTTATAAGTAGTCATGAAATAACATAGGCTACGTTTCTGTATGTGTCTTACTATACGTGAGCTAAGCCACCCGTGACGACCTAATCGGCAATTCAAGGGGAAACAGACTGGCCTCAAGGGTTCACGTTGTCTCCTATGTCCTTAAATGCCTCGTCCAAAGCTACTATACTGCAACGTAAAAGACAGACATAGGCTTAGCGAACGGAATCAGGAGTTATCAGAAGGCGGGATTAAGAAACTACCCCCAGACATCTACAAATGTAATGTGTGTGGTGCAGCATACTGTCGCGACCGAAAGTACTATATTGTTAGAACCTAACAACGCCAATGGAACTGATGCTGCCAGTGCTTGTTTTAATGTGCTATTTGTATAGTGTTCGCTGTAGTTTGCTGATCATGATGGTTATAAATCAGGTAGAAAAGGGTCCGTCAAGATGCACAGTCTTCATAGGTCTGAGCTCTGCCATCAGTATCCTATTACACAAGACGGAAATTGCCAAACAAATTTAATTAATGAAGGTAAGCAAAAAATTGTAAATTTTCTGTTCAGAACACACAAGTTGCTCTCGCACCCTGACGTCTCCATTTTAAGGATTGATTATTTGTCTCACTTGTATTTGATTATGGAGGAAAGGGTAAAATATGATACAGTCCGTTTCAAAAGAACATACTGGATTCGGATAAATTGATGTGATGACAGCTAAACTTCCTATGACTACTTCAGCATCATTTTTGCATCCGTCATTCATTTTCAGTTCAAAAACTGTGGGACATATTCTTAGCATTCGGTCATCACCCGTTGAACCAGTAATTTGTTTTTTCTCGCTAAATGGTATCAAAAATGGAGATCTACCCCTGATCAATGATTCATTACCTGAGCTGAAAATCAGTCACTGTCAGTTGGGCTTGCCGAATGGTAATTCAGAAATCGACCATTGGTCTTACTTCAGTACGGCTTCTTCGGCCTACTTCACGAACCCTGTCAATTTATCCCTTCTGTTGGTGTTCACTCATCTGAACCTTGCGGGTCATTGGCAAAATGCTATTTTCCCCGTAGTGGATAGGCGATCTCCCACGTAAATATTGCAACTTGTGCACGTGATCCAATTTGAATGGAGCTTAAATGGCAGTAACCAAGCCATTATTACACTAGACACCAGGGACCTACGAATCATTTCGGCTGAGTTACGCTTTGTTCAACTTTCTCTCCATTAGCACGGCTTCACTTCTTCGGAACCAGGCGCCTCCCTAAGAAAAGTCATTTCACCGTAATAATTGTTGAAATAATGATTCCAGGTGAGACACTCAGGCTGTCCATAGCAGTATAAAACATAGGGCTGCGCATACCTGCTTAGCCCATAGAATGGCGAAACCGGTTGTGGGATGTCACAGAGTTGCCGGCAACCTTGGAAGTAGTTTCCCGTCAAAAGAAGTTAGAATGCTTTTGTTCTCCACTAGAATTTTTCCAAATTAAGCAATAATCAGGCGGTATCGACATAGGCGTATCTTGTGATGCGAACCACTACAGTCTATGCGCAAACTGATCATCATCATCATCATTATCATCATCATGATCATCATCATCATCATCATCATCATCATCATCATCATCGACAACATGACGTCAGTGTTCAACACCGATGCTTCACTGCCATACAACCATGATTTATTTGAAAGCCTTGTTGTAAAGAAAGGAGTGAAGGGACTTAGTGCCAGTTTACCACAATCATTCTGAGGTGCCTACACCTCTAGACATTCACTCAGTCGATCTGGATAGAAACTGACAACAAGAACGCCTTTGATATCCGTTGGCAGCCATATCTTGTAGTGTCTCCAACCAGGCACAGAGAGGATCACGCGGTCCCCATCCTGGAAAGCGAGTAGAACCGACAGCACCCAAGCGTTTCGTGATCCCCTTCATACTCTGCCACGCCAAGGCTTGGCCACCTCTCTGTTTACGCCACTCTGAATTGGGCATAGAAAACAGCACTCGCTTCGACAAACGATGGTTCGGCATATGTAACACATGTCCCAACCAACGCAGCTTCTGATGCTGGACACATTCTTCAATGGAAGTACCCGTTGAACAACCGAAAGCGAGCTTTCTAACCGCCTCATTACAGATTCGCCGACCCCAACCCACACGAGCTATGGTTCTGAGACAACCATTGTCGAACATCTGAAGACAGTTCCGCTACTTGAATAGGCCGAGTCTCACATCCATACGATTTAATTGAAATAGAATTAAGGTTTCCGAAGCTTTTTTCGGCAAGTCGAATGCATCACGGCTTTGGTGGTCAATCTGTCTGTTTGTTCTGCCATCGGATGACGTAGACTTTCTATCGACCAAATAGGTCCGGATGGCAGTAAAGTTTTTTGGCACCCTGCGTGACTCGCATCTTTGACGCAAGTAAATACCTAAACAAACGTGTTCGAACAAGGACGCCGGTGAATGCGGCCCTAGAGAAGAACAAAACAAATAAGCCAAAACATGCAGTAGAGAGAACTCCGTTGCGCCCGGTGAACATGACGGAACTTGCATTTGTTATTGTGTGGGCTTTCCAAACCCAATGGCAGTTTTCTGCATATGGGGCTGGAGGAATGAGGTTAAAACACTGATTGAAAGTTTCTTTTCCACTTTTCTGAGTTGGTTGTATCAGGCACAGAGATCAGTGTAATTCAAACATTGTCCCCAGTTGCTGATCTACGAGATTAGCCTAAAAAAATTCCTGTCGAAACATGGATCATATTTTCCATAAATTTATTGTACTCTGCACGGGGCTACGAAGTCCAATGGTAGCTTAAGTGGGTTCCCATACAGGTGGGATTTAATATCCAAAAATAATCATGAGGAAATAGGTTTAGGTGCTTGTGCAT